GCTCAAGAAGACCCACCGCAACTGCCTCCGGCCAGGATCTCTTACATAATTTCTTAAATCGATTCACTGTTGGATAGTTTCCATGAGGTATTAGTCTGAATATATAATCCCCCTCAAAACCCGCTTTCCGGGAAACGCCGTATTTCTAAGCAATTCGTCGAAGATCCAATTGAGTTCTATCAGTTCCGTACAAATTTTCTCTAATACCATCCACCTATAAGGCCAGCGTGAGGGGTTCTTCATGAGATAGAATGTGCTCTACAACTGTTATTTGAAAGCATACGGCTTCTGTAAAGTGTGATTAGATCCATTTGAATGAAGAGACAAAATGTCTTTATTTGGCCCCTTGTATGTATGTTCAACGATCACGTTTTTGTTCGTGAGATTACTGGTCAGGGATGAGAATTTTCACGTCTGCATGACCCCTTGTGACTGCTGTGCAGAATTAACGGTCAAAGTAATTCTGTTGTAGTGCAATCACCGAATGTGTGCTAGAGTCGTAAGGAAAACGGGTCACTGCGCACGACGGAAGTTGAAAGTTCTCTCTTCGGATGGTGTTGCTCTTGTAACTGTATGTCAGCAGTTCAAGAATCTTCAAGGATAGATTGATTTCAGAAACACAGATGAAGTATTGTGCTCTAGTGAGCATAATTAATTTTTGCACAACAAAACCCCGTGTATCACGCGAGAATTGCAAAGCAGTTCGCGTGAGCTTTTCTTGAAAAAGTTGGAGGTGTTGGAGACTAGGGCATCAGCTCTTCTTCGAAGTTCAACTGCGCCGAGTTTACGTGCAAATATTCCTATTCAGAATATGTCCCACCTTGTGGACGTACTATGCCCGTCATACAAAACGACGGCATGTGCCACGTAGGACAATAACTCCAAATCCACTTGGTTCCAGGTTTCTAAAATAAAAATATGGTCATAATTGTGTTTCTTTCACTGTTTTACGAGGGAGATCTTCAATCGGAGAAAGAACAACACTCTGTCAAACACTTGAATTATTTTGCTTTCACTTCATGCTGTAAGGCTCGAATGAACGATTCTGAGTGAAAACGACGGTATCCAGCGACATGTCACCAACGGATAAGGATTTGGATTACGTCGCTTCACTAGAGCAAGCAATTGGATACAGCGAGGCCACTGACCTGTCTACGTAATCATTTACGACAATTTCATTTACGACAATCTGACATTTGCTATGTATTTATATTGAACTTACTGCGAGGGAAACCCGTGTAGGCTTACAGGTCATTACCGTTATCGATTATAGGGAAAAGTATACATAAAAAGTATGAAATAGACCGCATTTCTACAGGTAAAACAGTTCTACTCGACGCTCACATCTGAGGTAAGTGACTGCTTTCGAATAGATGGTAACGAAAAACTCCTGTTGTCCTCCACAGCCAATGCAGTCATACGGTTGTTAATATCCGCATCGTAGCCAACCTGAAAGACTCTTCGTTGGGAAACTCCACTCCATCAGCAGTGATAGACATACACACGCTACATAAAAGTTTTGGCGATGTGCTGACAAACAGGTTGTTCATGAGTTTACGGGAATTCATGGCATACTGACACGAAATTTCAGTTGAATTTCTGCCTTTGGTATTTTCACTTGTTTTCAGATTGAATTTCTATTAAACAATTCCAATGGATCGACAGAAGTCAGTGGAACATAAAAGTTCTTCCCGTTGCGGATATCGATGTCAGGTCTATGCATAAGATGTAGCGAAAATTTTCAGGTCCCTTTAGTCTGTTGCGCTATAATAGTAGTGGTAGAAAACTTCCAGAAGAATGAAAACGACAAATAGATGCAGTCTGTGATTTGTG